AACAAGTTAGATTTCTATTTGCTTTACTTGATTCTTTATTCAACTTGTCTCTTTTGCACATCTTTAAAGATGATTTCTTTAAACAATAACAAACTTATTTATACTACAGTATTTCCATGACATTTAAACCTGAAGGTTAATTTTGTCTCTGTAGACAGAAATACACCGACTCCTGTTCATTGTCTGAACAAGAAGAAATCTATTCACATCTCCTGTGGAAAGGACCACACTGCTGTTTTGACAAAGGTCTGATTCCTGATTTGTTATATTTCCTCAGCTGGTCCTTTGTAACTTATCACAATTTTAGATATCACATTAAATGTTACTGGAAAGTTTTTAAATATTCTGATGTTGTAACCAATAACCACACACATTTTATTGCTGGAAAAAGACTCTTACTCTATGAATTTACTCACCAAATAACACCTGTATACAAATGGAATGATGTAATAGGTTTTAGGTTTGATTCATCATTTAATCCAGTGGCCATTTTTGAAGGCCCCTGTGGTGAAAATATTAGTGTGGAACGTTAAATAGTTCATCTTTAAAACACTGAAGTAGGGCTGCAACTAACGATTATTTTCATTGTGGACTAATCTGTCCATCATTCCTTTGATTAGTCAACTTTTCATTTTATAGAAAAATGTGTTAAAATGTTAGAAGAATGTCGGCATGTCTCTCCCAAACCCCAAATTATGTCATCTAATGTCTTGTTTCGTACTCACACCAAAGGGTTTTAGTTCACCGTTATGGGAGAGTGTGTAAAGCCACTTTGAACATAAGAAGCTGCAATAAGAGTATTTTGGGGTACTTTTATAGAACTGAAAAATGAAATGAGGTAATGAAAAATGACTGAAACCGATTAGTTGACTACTAAAATAGTCAACGATTATTTTAATAGTCGATTAGTCATTGATTAGACGACTAATCATTGCAGCCCTACATTGAAGCAAGTCAACCATAGGCAACACTTTCAGCTGAAATGTGGTGTTAGCTCGTGGGCAAATAGCAAACATTCCAGTGGCTAACGTTAGCTTGTGAGTAGTCCTGACAGCGGTTAGCTAGCTAGCTAGCTGTAGCATATAGCATACTTAAGCAAGCAGTGAAGATAAGAGTAAATAGACTTAACTGAAACAGTAAAGTTACAGGATGTAAAACCAAATGAAATTTTAAAAAAATAAGTAAAAATAAACTTAAGTGGGACTTTAACTGTGGTGATGCTGTTGCTTCCTCAGACTGGTGCAGTGTTTACTTTTGGCTCCAGTCAGTATGGACAGCTTGGGCACAACTCATTCAACGATGAACTACGACCTCGGCTTGTTGCAGAGCTCTGGGGGGCAAAGGTCACCAGGATTGCTTGTGGACGGTACAGTGTATTACCTTTCATAATGCAATAGTTAAAGAGGCCTGGAAAGTTGTCAGTCAAAAGGCATTCATGTCTCTGATGTTGTTTGTAATATACCACCTCTTCAGACATCACACATTAGTGTTGACAGACTCAAAGAAGGTCTACTCCTTTGGGTGTGGAGAGCAGGGGCAGCTGGGACATGGAGAGGAGAGTCATCCATCTGTGCCGCTACCTGTTCAACTGCCACAGGGTAACTAGATAAGTAAAATAAATCATGTGAATGCATTGAATGGTTTCACAAAAGAACTTACACTTTATCCATTATTATTTCAGACACTGCTGATGATGCTAAAATTAGAAACATCTTCGCAGGAGAAAACTGTTCATTTGCAACATGCACATCTAATGAGGTACCAGCACACATAGACATGGTACAGACCATGATGGTCGGGGTTATAATGATGTGAACCTCATCTCATCTTGTTTATTTCACAGGACATTCATGAGGACTCAAACACTGACAGTGTCAACAATGTAACACAACATTGTCTCGACAACATGATTGACAAATGGATCTCTGAATGTGACTTAAAGTCATGGAAAAAGATAAAACAGTAAGTGTATTGCATCTGCAGTTTTCAGTATGTTAAATAGCCGAATGTTTTATAACTCTAATTCATTTGTTTTTCATCTGGATCAAAAGCTATTAACCCTGTTTTCTCAGTGCAGTGGACTAAAACTGTTGAATCTTTGCAGGCAAATTCACAAGATGTTTTCCTCTGCATCCTGTGTGAATGCAAGCTTTCTTGAGCAAAGGTAAACATAGCGTTTCTGTGCATGATCTTCACTTCAGCACAACCTCTCAGAGCTGATGATATGGATTTAAGCTTTGTCTTTTCTTCTTTGTGTTTTAGCAAAGACAAACATTACCAGACCTCACCAAAGTACTCTGGCTTAAACTTGAAACTTGCACGACTTGCTTTCAAGAAACTGGTGAAGAAGGACGATGTTTTCGCAGAGGTATGAAACTGAAATGTCTGTAACGTGTATGAAAGGTTTTGTTTTCTCAAAGTTATTGATTTAAGTGCTGTAGTTAAAAATGTATTCCCGATATTTCTCTTTTGCTTTTCAAACAGGTCGAGGCTGCTGTCCTGCACCTGCTTCCCTCTCTTGATAAAAAGCCAGTGAGTGTGGAGGGATTGAGGATCTTCCTGCTTCTCAATGAGCTCCTACATGCGATCCAGAGACACAAACGGCGTCAAACAAGCACAAAGCTCGCTGAGGCGGTCGCTGCTGCTGTAGTAAACTTGTCTGCTGACAGCCTGCAGGTCATAGGTACTGTCACCACCACACGTCACATCATCATTATTTTTATGCTATTGTTTTTTAAATATATATTATAAATACATTGAATATATTATATTACATATTCAAGTTGCAGTCTTTGAGTTTGAGTCATAAAATCAAACTATTTTTATTACAAGTTATTGTTGGTATATTTTCTGCAGTCATTCAATGTATTTACAATCAGATATAAGTTATAATTGGTAGTGGCAGTGTCCGCCATTCCTGTTTTGGATCCAGCATGAGGAATACACAGGAAAAGATGCATGCATGTAATCCTGCACAATTTGATCTAATTTATACAACAACCTCACTCTTTATTATTTACTCTCTTTACATCATGTCAGAGCTGTGTTATGTTACTGCCATTGCTGCTGTTTCTTCAGATTACAAGCATGCAACAGGAAAAACTACTGTGAAGCTGTCACAGGAAAATGTCACAGGAAGTGCAGTATATTTGTCATCATGGTTAGCACTGACCTCAATCACTTCTCCATCGTGTGTGTGTGTGTGTGTGTGTGTGTGTGTGTAAGTTTAGTTTAGTTCATTTAGTCCTTTGCAAGGAAATTCTTTTTACAGTCAGTGCAAAAACATTAACAGACAAACAGGGGTTACATGACGTTGACAATTACACAGACATACAAACACACCACAGGCTGGAACATTGTCAGACAGATGTTATTCATACATTTAGGGCACGTATAGCTGCAGGAATGAAACTCTTGTTGAACTTGGCTTTTTTGCACAGAGGCAGCCTGTACCTACGGCCGGAGGGGAGGGGAATGTGTTGGTGGAGTGGATGGTCAGGGTCCTGTGTGATTGCAAGTGCTTTACGGGTCAGAGATGAGGTGACACTGTCAGATAGGTTAGGAGTAGTTAAGCCAATGATTTTGCTTGCCAGATGGGTTACTTTAAAAAGTTTGTTTCTATTAACAACAGTGAGCATGGGGAAGAAGCAGATGGCACTATACAACAGAACCGGCTCAACAATGCTGCAGTACAGAAGGAGGAGGAGTTGGGGTTGAACAGACAGGTGTCAGAGTTTGCGTATAGCCGTGAGTCTCTGTTGGCAGCGTTTGTAAATTTCCGTGGTGTGTTGATTGAAGCTGAGGTTACTGTCCAGTGTGATGCCAAGATATTTGGACGACTCCACCTCCTCCACCTTCTCCACGTTGATGAAGAGACTGTGTGTTTGTGTGTGAAGAAACAGCAGTAATGGCACTTACTTAAAAAAGAGCATGAACAGTAAAGAATCAGGCTGTGATCAGCCACGCTCAGCCTACCATGTTCAGGTTAGGTGATCCAGAGACAACACATGGCGGACTCCGCCACTACCAAGAACTAATTGCTGAATGTACATGGAATGACTATTGCAGAAGGAGGAGACGACAGGCTGCACACCTCCAACTCCTCAGCAGGATAACCAACTGTACTGTGGCCTGCTGTTGTGGGTAAAACTACTCAAGCTGTGTGCAGCATGAAATCAGATTGCAGTTGTAATTATTATTGACCGACATCTTGATTACTTAAAGCAATGTGAGTTTTTTTGGAGCTGGACTGTGTATAAATACACCAGCTGCACTTCTGTGGTATTCCTGACAAACAAACTGCCTGAGTGTAATGAAACCACACTTGCTGTAACCCTGGTAACAGTAAGTGTCACCAAATCAACCAACACTGAAAATCAAGGATAATAACTTAAATAGGTCAAAGGTATGTCCTTGACATCCACTCAGTTATGAAATATTTCCTGCGACTAATGTCTGCAAATCTCCATGTTGTCTTCTTCAGGGGACTGGTGGTCCTCACTGTTGCCCTCCACCATGGTTAGACATGTTAAGGTGTGGAAGCAGGCCCTGTCAGTGATCCTGTCCTCTAAGTGTGTTCCTCGCAACTCTGGAGACAGAAACCTGCTGCTAGTCCTCCAGTACATGTACAATGTTAGTATCAATTATGATACTAACCTTACAGCATAATCTTACAGCATAATTCTGAATCAGTAATCCTTCTTTCGTGCTTTTTACTTTGATGAACGTTTCACCTAATAAATGAAAAACTTGTTTTAAAGGCCAACAGCAGGATTGCAGAACCTCAAAAAATGCCAGACAGTGATTTCTGTTTGTCTATTGAGAAAGACTTTCTTCAGGAGGATCTACGGCTTTGGCGTTTACGGTCAAAACGCAAGGTAAAAAAAACACATGGCTAAATAGTTTGTGAGCTAAAGTCCATCTGTCTCCGTCTTTGTTTCTGTCACTTTTCAGCCACTGGCCAGTCATTAATCTGTGATCTTCAATGATTGTCTTTAACATGCTTGTTTTTTTTCCCTTGTAGAATGGGCATGCTGAGCCACTTATCCTCTGTAGCTTTCCGACTGTGATGGATCTGGAGTCAAAGAAATTTGTTTTTGACCTGAATGCTGATTGCACCAAGGTATGAAGCCCTGAACTGTGCCTCATGAGAGCAACTACACACTACCTCTACACACAATACTGTCAGGGTCGAGAAATCTTCAAGCAGCCATGTTGTGTTTTGTTTCTTAGTGTTAATTGCAGTATAATAGATTACTTGTTCTCCATGTAAGACTCACAGTGAAGTTTGCTGTCAGTTACACAACAATAAAATGAAATGAAATCTTGAACTTTATTCCAGGTGGAGGTGCTTGAACGCAAATTCTTGGATATGTTTTGGGAATTTGGTTTAATTCTCCCGCCGCCGGAAGATGTGCTCTTAAAACTGGACGTGAGGCAAGCATCAGTTTTGGAGGACACCTTTAAACAACTGGCTGCTGCTCGTCACAGTGACTACAAGTGTCCACTTTTGGTAAACATGTCGTTTCGATCTGATTGTTAAAGTCATACTAAAAAACTTGCATTGTGTTACTTTTGTGTAAACTTCTGTACCAGGAGGAATACTTTATGCCTTTTTGTCTTCTAGGTTGACTGGGGTGAAAAATTGACATTTGATGATGTACCGCTCTACATGAAAGACTTCTTTTATGAAGTGTTTCACGAGATGGTGTCAGCTGAGTCTGGGATGTTCATGTTCAACAACTCCAAAACGCTGGCATGGTTCCCCTCCAAAGTAAGACTTTAGTTCCTTATACAGGAAAAATTTAATGGTTTTCCTTTTGATGGTAATACATAATAATGAAATAATAATCAGTTCAGTTCTTAAGATCCAACCTCAGAAGAAATTATTATCCTATTTTCTGTTTTTCTGATATTAATTGTCTCTACCATGAACAGCAGCCAAAACAAGAGGACCAGCGATACTTCCAGTTTGGAGTTCTGTGTGGATTGGCTTTGTACAACAAGTGCATCATACACTTACCCTTCCCACTGGCTCTGTTCAAGAAGCTGCTGGGTGTTAAGCCTTCACTGAGCGATATGATAGAGTTCAGCCCATCTGTTGGAGAGTAAGAGGAAACTGATGTGTAAAGTTTTTTTTATTATTGGTGCTGATATCTCATAGCATACTTTAAAAACTGTAAAACATCTTCAAAGTTCAATATTTTTCCTTTTATTGTGTTTCAAGGAGTCTGCTGAACATCCTGGAAGACTACGAAGATGATGTCATAGAAAACCTCTACATGGATTTTTTTGTATGTTTTACAGATATTCAAAAGTTTGTCTCATTTATCCTCCGTCTGATGTCCAGCTCACAATCTATTATCACTTGCCAAAGCAGTGATATCACAATTTTTTTCTTTCTCATACCTGATCAACAGATCAGCTGGGACGGGACAGAGGTTGCGCTTGATCCTGAAAATCCTGAGAAGCCAGTGACAGGTCAAAATAAGTAAGGACCATGTGTGTACTTTTGTTACTTTCTTTTGTGTTTTGTCATTTGACTATGACTTCAAGAAACCATTTAATAAGTAGGTACAGGCGTACCTACAACTTGAAAATATAACCCAGAGACATAATAATTCAGTCATTTAAAGCTTCATTTTGTGTTGAATTTGTTGTGCCCTGTGGACAAAAGCAGTAGAGTTGACCAGAATAAAGACTGCGTTTTCTAAAGCAACACCACCTCATGTAGTAATGATTTTGACCTGGCTAACGTGTGCATTTTGCTTTGAAAGCGAGTGAAAAAAAGACACAGCTTATTTGTGTGCATGTACCCCATGTTTTGAAAGGCTTAGGTCTAGGTTCAGGTCTGACCCTTTGGCTGCATTTTCTCAGCTGTTTTTTTTTTAAAAAGCCCTCTTAAATAAAGGACAAGAGAGACAGCAAAGTTAAGATACTTCTTAAGTGATAAAAACAAGACTGAATAACCCCTTTGTAAAAAATCACTAATCACAGGTCTTTTACCTGTTAAGAAATGTGTGTTAAATCAAAGTATTTCTTTCTTCGTCTGACCTGGAGAATGTTACTCATGCTGTTATTTCATTTCAATTTATCAGTCTTTACTTTTGTAACTCTATAATCAGCACCTATTTTAAAAAGTCATTTAATCATCTGCAAACATTTTAATGCAGTCTTTTGCTGATTGAGCTGACAGTAAGGGATGCAAAACCTAATATCTTCAAAGCAATCTGTTAGGGCAGCCAAACTGCTACTATAAGTAGGGTTTTTAGGACTGGAAGATAAATTGCGTATCATCTGCATAGAAATGAAGAGCTATTATGTCTACTAATCATGTGTCCAAGGGGTGGCATGTAAAAGAGAGAGAATGAGGCCCAGAATCTCACTTTGCGGACCTTTTTGTTGACTCAAAACTTTATTTTGCTAAACAGGAAGGAGTTTGTGGATGCCTACGTGAATCATGCTTTCAATGCATCAGTGGAGAGTGTGTTTCAGGAGTTCAAGCGAGGCTTCTTCCAGGTGTGTGACTGGGATTTGGTGAAGCTCTTCAGACCAAAGGAGCTGCAGGAAGTGCTGGTGGGCAAAGACTTCCATGACTGGGCAAAGCTGAAACAGGTACAGTCTAAAACAAGAGCTCCTCATGGTCTTATTTCTCTGCAACTGCCACAGGTTTTTGGCTTCTTCATGCTTGATTTAAATGTTATAACAATTGTAAAAGTCTGTAACAGAAGTAATTGTAACAGTCTACTTCACTGTTATTAGAACACAGGTTATGAGGGGGAGTTCAATACCACACCACCACACCCCACCATACAGATGTTTTGGGAGGTTTTTGATGAACTAACTGAGGATCAGAGGAAAGCTTTCCTTTGTAAGTATTATACCTGATTCTACATATAAAAGCTATCACAATGTATTTTATTGTAAATCTGCAAGACTAGATTTGCTATATACGTATGAGCTGAATCAAGGGAAGGCAACTAATCAACCCAATCGCCGTTAAAAAATACTGGCATCGTACTTTTTCGCAAACCGTGGATATGTTACCTTTGTACGTTATTATGTGGTAAATATGGTGAAACTTTACATTTCAACAACGCTGTGGTCAAAGTGGTTAGGTTTAGGCACTAAAACCACTTGGTTATGGTGAGGAAAAGATCATGTTTGAGCTTAAAATACCTAGTTCTGGGGGCACTATCCCATCTTGAAACACAGTGATGACTAACTAAAACAACCAGTTTTGTTGTTTGTTGGCCTCAAACTGTGGTCTGCCACTTCACAGGCATCCCACCTGTTTGACACACCACCCACCTGGCACTGTCTCCTCCACATTACAAAGTCAGCTCATATACTCATTATTTTAGAAATATTGATCCGATACATATGAAACATAAAAAATGTACCACAATTCTGGTTTGCAGAAATGTAAAATGCAAACATTTTCTCCTGGTGACTGGTTGAAACTAATCAAATGGAATCTAATCAAGTCAATTATCAATATTTTTGTTGAGGTATTTCAGTCTAGATGGGTCATAACGATTTTACATTTACTGCTCTGTAAATCTGGTATCTGGGCTTTTGAGGGAAATACACTTGCACAGTAGATGATGTATTACCAACAACGATGGTTGCGTGGATTCAAAAAACAACTGTTCTACTTACCATGAGCAGTGATAAAATTTTGTCTGAATTTTCACTCTAACCTCAGGGAAGGGCAGTGCAAAGCACCATAAATTAATGAAAACGCAAGAAACTCATTGATTACTACTTTTCCCTCCTCTAGGGTTTGTGACTGGTTTTGACAGGGTGCCTGTTCTTGACATGGAAAAGATCAAGATGACAATCAAAGTCAGCCCAGCCCAGGACCTCTCCTACGACCAGCAGTACCCTGAAACACATACATGTTTCTCAAACCTGGAGCTGCCCTTATACTCAACCAAAGAGATCATGAAAACCATGCTGACAGAGGCCCTGAGCAAAAACAGAAGAATCTGTGAATGATGGTGGGACTGTACTGTGACTGTCTCTGTACTGAACAGAGGACTTAACATGTAACACAGCAGTGCCTGTGTATAAGCAGACACCAAGGGTTTTAAACTCTCTACAATAATCGCATGTTTGGGTGTAAATAAAAAACACATGCCTCATAATGTATAACACTGATATAGATAGTATAGTGTTTGTAAATACATTGCAGGGAAGTCTTAAGTAAGTGATTTAATAATATTTCTTTTAACAAGTGTTACAACTCCTCAGATAATAAAGAGTGTGATAGAGTTTGTTATTCTGGGACCAAGTTGAATAAAGATCTGCACAAAATAAATGTGAACTGTAAAGCATACCCCTCTGTGTTATAAAGACTATGCATGTTTGTTATGTTTATCAAATGAGATTTCCCAAAACTTAAATATAATAATGTAAAATATTTGAAACGTAACATTTTTCATGGTGGTGCAATAAAGTATAAATTCTCCTCTGCTTCTCAGCTGTGGAATTAATTACTAATAAAACTCAACATAGATATGCCTTGAGATAGAGCTGCTAAACGCTGCACTGTGAAACTGTTTATAAGTAAATGGTTTAATTCAACTGCAGCATCTCTTGTTTATCTACAGGCTACAGTTCACCAGTTGATAAAGTGATTGTTAAGATAGAAAAACAAGACATTTTCATAGAAACACAACAAACACAGCAACTTGAAGGACTGTCCTCATTGCTGCAGGTAGTCAGCTGTGTTAATATAAGTTGAGGTGAAATCATGCAACTTACACAAGGAGATTTACACACTGTATATGTGAGCAGATATTTATTTACTTTTATTAGGAATTACTTGCTATCTTTGATGGTGGAGCCTAAAAACACCACCAGCCCTTGTACTGTTGAGTGGATAAATTGGATTGGATGTGAAGCAGTATTCAACAATTTGTCATTGTTATTATGATAAATGGAAAAAAAATAATGGCATCTCAAGGGGTTGGAGCCAAAGCACAAGTGTGTTATATCAGATTTTACAGGAGAGCCAAAACAAGTTTTGATTGAACTGGAATCAGCTGCTGTTGCCATGTACTGAATACAGTATTTAATGTTTTTGTGTCATCAGATTGAGCATCACTATAAAAACAATATTTCTACAGTTTAAGTTAAAAATGTATTAAAGAGTGAGACACGCCTTTGGCACAAACATTCTCCCAATATGGGCATATGCCAGTTAACCACATTCACTTCCATTAAAGTGTATCAATTACACTTCAATCAATCATTCAGTCATAGACACAGAATGAAAGCAGAATGGATATTCCCATTCAAATCAATTTAGCTGGATAGTCAGAGCTTCGGACATTTTTTATGTGTATTATTGCCATTGGGATGCAGCCATTGTAGTTTGCCAACTTTAAAAAAAAACCCCATGGCACACATAAAATGAAAAAGCACTGAGCAAACATTGGCTCAATTGGTTAATTTTTAGCAACCAGTAAGAGGGCCATCAAAAAAATCAATGTCAGGTCAAGTGTACAGTATATTTAGAATGTTTTCATCGCTTTACTTTGCTGTCAGACAGCCCTTTCTGACAGAGAACTGAAGCCGTTATCACAAAGCCACCAGACTCCATGACAAAAACAGTTATTTTACTTTACAGAACATAAGAGCTGCTGGTCTACTGCTGCCTTGATCAGCTAGTGTGTAAGGTAAAGTGGTGAAAATATCATTTATATAGTGTGCACTTAAGCTGATATTGATTTCTACACCTGCACTGTTTTTACCCAAAGTACCTCTTCTACTTTAACAGAAACACTTTGTGTAAATATCCATAAAACAGCTGTGTATCTGATTAAGGATTTCTGATGATTTCATGTGAAGAGAGGGCCCTTCTTCCTCCTCACACACCAGACCTGCATCACAGGGTCAGTGCGCCACCTGCTGTTGTTACTGGAAACTACGGTCACATATGAGCTGCTGGCCCTCAAGTTTCTTTTAATGTGTGGAGGTATTTCATTAGATTCATCTTCACTGGTGCTATATAAATGCTACACATAAACCCTGGCAAAATTAGCTTTGGGTGTACCTATATTATATTGTTGGTGTTATGTATACCTGAGAATAAAATGTTAAACTCAGCTAGTTAAAAGGAAAACAGAACTGTCATATTAACTTTGTAGCAGATGGTGGCTCAGTTTAGTGAAGTCAGTACAGGACAGTGGGCCAGCATGCACAGTACCAGGGTACTGTTTGGTACTGTTTGTCTTTCTCCAACAATTCAGTTTACCAGCATTCAGGTTTTACAGTAGCATGTACCAGCTTGTGTCACACTCACATGCAAAAGGGAGGACTGGAGTGACTGGCAGCTTATATACAGGTACCTCAGTCCTACGTCAGTCTGTTTCCATGACTTTTACTGACGTGCAGATGAGAAAGAGATTTTAATACGTAACCAAGAAAACTATGTAGTTATAGAAACTATAAAGTTATAGTTTCCTTGTAAGTAACCAGGAAATTCTGGAAGGACCAGATTTTTCATGGACCATATCTGTAAAGACTTCACATTATTATGGAATAATGTGGTGTTTGGCTTCATCAAGTACACAAGCATTTGGTAATCAGTCTGGCAAAGTATTTTATCCATAAATGTGAGTTTATCAATAATAAACCTCGTTTTGTTCTTTGTCTGAAGGATGTTAAACATTACATCATTGTTAAATTCTGTTGTTTAAATAAAGAATGTAAAAAAGAAAGTAAGACATATAATATAATATAAATGTTTTTGTGTCAATATATTTCCATAGTTTAATGATGTGTAGAGTTCCATGAAAACTTGATTTTTTAAAACCATTTCTCTTAATAGACGATCAGAAAATCACAGTAGTAGTATTAGTAGTAGTAGTTATGATAATAATAATACTTTTTTTATTTCTTTAAAGGCTACAAAGCGCCAAAAACATTGTCCCCTGCAGCACCTATAATGTGTCCAGAATGATAAACACACACAGCGGGCCACTGCAGTCCACATCTTAAGCACAAAACTGTAAATGAACCATGTTAACACAGCTTTGTTTTTGTATTAAAATAATAAATTAGGGGCGGCACGGTGATGTGGTGGTTAGCACTATCTCCTCACAGCAAGAGGGTTGCCGGTTCGATCCCGGGTGTGGGAGCCCTTCTGTGCGAAATTTGCATGCTCTCTCCGTGTCAGCGTGGGCTCCCTTCGGGCACTCCAGCTTCCTCCACATGCAGATTGGGGACTAGGTTAATTGATAACTGTAAATTGTCCGTAAGTGTGAATGTGAGCGTCTATGTCCATGTCCAGCCCCCCCGCGACCCTCAAGAGGATGAAGCGGTTAGAAGATGAATGAATAATAAATTAAACTTTTTTTGAATAATAATTGACATTTGTACTGTCGCTGTCTACTGTTGTAGAATAATGTGATTTTGATGAAATATCACTATTTTAAGCTCACATTTGGAAATATTTTTTCCTGACAAAAGCCTTTGTCTCACATGAACTCCAATGATAATTTCTGTTTTTAAAGTGTCTGGCTATGATAAATGGTGTCATTTTGGCGATTTTTCGAGATTTTTCAGTAAAATAAATACAACCATGACTATCTCACCTAAGCCAAATTAAAAACATAAGTCCCTTTGCCAGTGCTCAATCATTATTTGACATGCTTCCCCCTTTTGCACCTCCCAGTCCCCCTTCAAATAACAAATCGTCCCTAATTATAGTTAGTGACGTCAGCATCTCTGTGACTAACTTTATAAATACTGCGGGTTTTTTTTTTTTAGTTTAAATCAACATCTAGAGCTAGTTTGTTTGTTTTACAGCACTGAAGGGAATGGACATAGATTTTTTTTTCCAGGGGACAAATGATTGGTGTAACCTGAGGTGAGTATTTCAGTGGCTCAGTATTTCCATTTGCTTTATTTGATTATGAAACACATTTTACAGCTGTAGGCCTAATCATGCATAAACACAAGCGATCAGCCCAGTTTCACTTTCGTTTTCCTTTTCAACTGTGAAGTGAAAGCTCCTCCTTCCTCTGACTCACTGGGCGTGATATATTTTCGTTTCCTCATATTTTGTACTGTAAGTTTTGTTTTCCCTTGATCACAGCAGAGTTTGTATAAGTAACCAATCAGATTTAGTTTCTGACTGACAGAACTGAGTGATACAAATCAGCTGACGGCTCTTCAGAGACACACACCAAAATGTTTTCATGGGGAGAGGACAGTCAGCAGGGCTTTCGGCTGAAAGATGGCTCACATATCTCAACAGGTGATGGAATTCACTTGTTAAACCTCGGTCATCACATCACGGATCTGTCAGCAGGACACAATGTGCTCGCTTTTATGAACAGTAATGGAGATGCGTTCATCATTCGCACCAATCAGAGCACGGATGGGAGAAGAGTCAGAGGAAGACAAAGTGAGTGTCAGTCTTATGTTTCTGTCTTGAACTTGATGGTAACTTCCTTCTTACAAGGTACTTGCAAATGGAAGTTTTTTTCTCTTGCAGAATGAATGACTTAAAACCTGCTGCATCACTTACACCTACTGTGTTCCTGTGTTCTTTCAGAGTGTGTGAAGTGTAAACAGAAGATTGAGGCTGTGAGTTGTGGTGATGATCTGGTCACACTGCTGTCTGAGACAGGGAAAGTTCTCTGTGTGGACACAACTCACACAAACATCCCTAGGTAAGGAGAAACTAAAATGTGTCCTGAATTTGTAACAAAATGTGCAAAATGTCAGGGATTTTGAAAAATATGACTCTAAAAACTTTTTTTTTTAAATTTACATTAATCAGCTCCAATAATTAAATATTTGAGCTCTGTTGTTTTCTGTCTCTGTTTCTCTCAGGCCTGTGGAAGCTTTGTGTAACATAGTGGTATCTCAGGTTGCTTGTGGGAGCCAGCATTCAGTCGCCCTGACCAAAGGTACAGTAAAGTGCATCGTAAACTGCTACTAATATACTCCTATGACACTTGTGGCTGCTCTTCTGAGGTCCAGACAGAAACACAGAAAATACTAAGACAATCTTGTTTAAGAGCTACAGGCAATAAACTGATCTCAGTCCATTTAACCCACATTCTACCAGTGCTGTGTTAAACACTACTCTCAAACACTGAGATAATTGCTGCATCACAGTTTGTATCCCACAACTGCATTTTGTAAACCCTTTGTCGTGTTGACTGGGTGGAAAAAAACACCTCAGCCAGCGTTGAGACAGGATGGTAAAAGTTGACTCAAAGTCCAATAGTGGCTAAGATTAAGGCCAAGTACAAGATAATGATAATTACAATAATATCTGTTCATACAGTGAAGTAGAAAGCTGATATTACAAAGTGGTTTCCAGAATGCAAACATGTCAGGATGTCAGGAAAGTGTTGTGAAAGTCATGGTGATTTCTCTGCAGATGGTCAGGTGTACACATGGGGCCAGGACTCCAGGGGCCAGCTGGGTCTGGGGAGGAGGAAGCTCGGCGCCAGTTCACCCCAACACCTTCGATCTCTGTCAGCGATACCCCTGGTCCAGATTGCTGCAGGGGGAGAGCAGAGCTTCGCCCTCTCTGTCTCTGGAGGTGTGTTCGGCTGGGGCAGAAACGACTGTGGACAGCTCGGGCTGGGAGACACAACAGGTAAAAACAAGCAGTCATTACCTTTCATTTATTAAAATGGAATATTTACTGTTCCCGTTACATGTAAACCTGAATGTTAATGTATTTGCTACAGACAGAGATACACCGACTTCTGTTCCTTGTCTGAACATGAAGAAAACTGTTCACATCTCCTGTGGAAAGGACCACACTGCCGTTCTGACAAAGGTGAGACATAGAAAGCTGACATATTGTAACCTACCACATTTTACTGGTGGTGTAAAAATGTATAAGAGCAAACAGTTCTAACTCACTTAACGAGTGATACAGAAATGATGGAGTATGTTTTGAATGATTTCTGATGAATGTCAACTTTACTTCTGAGGTCGCACCATAAGTACAGTGGAGGTGTAACTTTTCTCACTGAAAAAGATTAATAGCAGATGCTTTTTATGCAAAAACAATCATATATTAACTTGGTGTTGTGGTTGCTTCCTCAGACTGGTGCAGTGTTTACTTTTGGCTCCGGTCAGTATGGACAGCTTGGGCACAACTCATTCAGCGATGAACTACGACCTCGGCTTGTTGCAGAGCTCTGGGGGGCAAAGGTCACCAGGATTGCATGTGGACGGTACAGTACTTTTATAAATTTGAACTCTTATGCAGTATTCTGAGCCAGTTCTGCTCATTATCAGTGCAGTTCCAGCATGGTGTGATTTTTTGTTTTACATTTTCCAGTTGTGAATGTTATTGTTCACAAATGCCATAGTTAAATATAAATTTTGAACATCCAGTGTGCAGGATTTAGGGGCATTTATTCGCAGAAATTTTATATAATTATAATATTTAATTATAATAATGTTTTAATTAATGTATAACTAGTCCATACCCATTGAGTGCACAGTTGCCCACGTACAGTTTCACATGGTGTGTGTTTGGGATACAGGTCATAGGAAATTGCAGATTAAATAGTCAACTGAACCCATTAAGAAGAGCAATGTATTCAGACAGAGTTTTTGAAAAACGTGGCACAGACAGAATGACTGACTGACAGAATGACACACTGACAGTTTCCGTGATTATAACATTCGGCCACAGGGGGAGCCACAGCGATCGGTCGCATTTGAGCCATTTTTAAGCATTTTTCTGTTGTTATAGCGCCACCCAGTTGCCAATTAGAGTTAAATTTCTCCAGTCACCTTGAGGCGTCCTGTTCTACATATCTACCAAGTTTAGTAAAAATCGATATGGCGGTTAGACTTAGATAAGAAATTAGCTCTCTAGTGCCCCCATTTTATTTGATGGGGTCAATAATGGAGGGGTCCCCTCAGTATATGTGTGGTCATGTGTCTACAAAGTTGCGTGGTGATCGGTGAAACCCTTGAGATGTTATACACCTTTATGTGATGAGCCATGCCCTCCGCAATATTCATTGCCTTATAGAAGCTCAGTTTTAGTAAGTCTTCCAACTTTTGCCAAGAGGGAACTTTAGATATTGGTCCCTAGATGATATTCACCGAGTTTCATGCAGATCGGTCGAACTTCCTAGGAAGAGATCGATTTTAAGTGTTTTTCAAAAAATTCAAAATGGCGGAAAATCTATATAACCGGAAGTTATGGGTTCTTGAGGCAAATTTGTTCCTCATGAGGAGAGGCATCTCTGTGCAAAGTTTCATGTCTGTACAACATATGGGGCATGAGATATGCCCATTCAAAGTTTGCAAATTCAATTGGTTGCTATAGCGCCCCCCTTTGGCCAGTTGATGTAATATTGCTTCATTCTTATCCTCCCATCACCCTCTACCACTGTGCCAAATTTCACATGGATTGACCAAGTCAGTGAGGAGAAAAACATGGAACAGACACACAGACACACCCACAGACAGAGTTTTCGTCATTATATAGTAAGATCACTTTAAACTAAGAAACATGTTTTCATTACCTTAGAATGAGCTGGTTATATCAACATACAGACGAGTCTTCTACAGAGTCCACCATGGTGTCCCTACAGTAGCCCAGAACAGACAAACCAAACACTAAAATGGAGCCATTTGCGTTTGTGTTTTTGTGTCGTCGACCACCATTCAATATTCTATATGCTTCGCACATGAGAGGACTTTTTTTTTTTTTTTCAATCAGACATCACACATTAGCATTGACGGACTCCAAGAAGGTCTACTCCTTTGGGTGTGGAGAGCAGGGGCAGCTGGGACATGGAGAGGAGAGTCATCCATCTGTGCCGCTACCTGTTCAACTGCCACAAGGTGACTACATTTCTAAAATAACTGAACTGAGAGTTTAGCCAAGAAAATTTTTGTAGAGTAGTGTATACAAAATACAATGAAATAACTACAACAAACATTGATTCAGCATCCCTCTTGTATGGACATAGTCTATGTAAGGTCAGTGCGATGTAACAGAAATGCCACTGACCGACGACCCGTTGTTCTTTGAGGGACAAGTAGCCAGCATTCCAGTTACTGCATCTGTACTGCATCTGTGGTGTCAGGATAATCTGTTACCAATCATATTTGCTTTTCATTATAAAGGTGTTGTTTAAACGCTCTGAGCAAGAAAATACATCACATCTTCCTTGTAGCGTCTATCCCAGGGGCACTGAATGCACCACTGGCCTTGGCTGGCAAAGGTTTTGACTCCAGTTTAATTGGTCCTGGCTCATTCTTTTATGGTGCCGTTGCTACACTATTTTACGAGACTTTAGGGTTTCATGAGCACTTGGACGTTTGACTGGCTGACCCAGCACAAACAGGACATTAAAAAGAGCTGTTCAGAAAGATTTGTTGGTTCATTTTTGGCCATCACTAGTTCTGCTGCTATCTTACGAACTAGCTGCATGTGAGCTAGGGATGACTGACTGACTCCAACGTTAGGAGTGTGACAGTAGTCAAGACATGAATTGACAATAGCAAGTAAGACGAACTGAATAGCCTGTGTGTAATGGTCTCCTGGGTTCCAGAGGAAACTATGTCATACTGTCAACTTATCAAGGATAGAGTTAACTTTTATTTTGTATTTATTCCAGATGCTACAAATGGTCCCATAATTAGAAACATCTTCGCAGGAGAAAACTGTTCCTTTGCAACGTGCACGTCTGTTCAGGTACCAACACAAATGCTTACAGTAGAGACTAAAATTGTAGGAGGTGTAATAATACTTATTTTTCTGAACCAAAAATAAAGTCTTAAACTCTTGTTTCTTTCACAGGAAGTTAATGAGGAGTCAAACACTGACAGAGTCAACAATGTAACACAGCCCTCTGTTGATGAGATGATTGACAAATGGGTCTCTAAATGTGGTTCAAAATCATGGAAAAACATAAAACAGTACGTATAATACCATACTAGTTTTCTCATTATATAACTGGTTTGTTATTTGGCTCCAAAGCTGTTAACACTATATTCTCTGTGTCATTGACTAACCATATGAAAACCTCACAGGGAAATCCACGGGACGTTTTCCTCTGCATCCTGTATGAATCAGATCTTTCTTGACCAAAGGTAAACACCATGCTGGTGCGATCTTCACGTCTTCATATCTGGTGAATTACATCACATTTACATGCACTTTCTGTCTTCATAGAAAAGATAAACATTTCCAGACCTCACCAAAGTACTCCGGCTTAAACTTGTCACTTGTGCAACCTGCTTTCGAGAAACTGGTGCAGAAGGATGATGTCTTAGCAGAGGTATGAATCTGAATCGTGACAATGTATGTTTGGTATCTGATCAGTGATTAACAAGGAAGATTTAAAACTTTTTATTATTATTGTTATTATTATTATTACTATTTAACTATTATTCAGTTATTAGAGTCCGGGCAGCTAAGCTGCCAGGACACTTTTGTAATTCTAGGTATTCTTCTTCTTCTTTCTCACCAAACTTTGCACAAAGGTCCAGTCTCATGCCAGATATCCTCAGCTGTAAACTCAAGCCAATATTCCTGATGGTGGCGCTACAGCAAGCGTCTAAAGTTCAAAACTTTGAAAATTCATAACAAATCAACCGTACGTGCTACAACTTCACAACTTTTGTACATTTAAACCTATTAAAAATTATGAAGTTCATCACTCTGTTTTTTCAAAACCTGGAAAACTTCTTAAACCTATCTCCTCCCACAATTTTTGCTCAATTGACACCAAACTTGGTACAGAGCATCTTCAGACTGTCCTACAAAATCTATGTTTCTCAGATTTTTGATTTATCAAAACTTGAGCCTACAGTGCATCAAAATGTTTGACTGTAAACGGTACTATAAACATATACATGCAAATTCTCGCTAAATAAATCGTCAATGTTCATGAAAAAAATGACAAAATTCTAGAGTCATGGGAGATGATGTGTGGCAAATTTCAGAATTTTATCTCAAAAACTGAATTTTTGACAGCATTTTGAATTTTGCTCTAATGTGAACAATTGGAGTCAATGTAAAAATGGCAATTTTAAACATCAGTTTTTTACTTATGTAGCAAATCAATCATTGTTACAAACAAATTACCAACATCTCCATGCTGTCTAGATGCAATATGTGTATTTTCAGATTTTTGTCTTAATAACTTAATTTTTTACAGTGGATTCAAATCTGCCTTTCCATGCACGGATGGCTGCTTTCCTACACAACAGTGAATGGCTTACTCAGTTTGTGAAGCCACTGTTGAGTTGCTACTTGCCAATTAGCTCAGAGCGGTAGATGACCATCTTAGGTTCCAGAGGTTGCTCAGAATTGCCTAAAAATGCCCGGACCTGACCCATCGCTGCGCAGCAGCTATAATTATGTTATATGTTCTCAACAGGTTGAGGCCGCTGTCCTGCACTTGCTTTCTTCTCTTGATGAGAAGCCTGTGGGCGTGGAGGGGTTGAGGATCTTCCTGCTTCTTAATGAGCTACTGCATGTGATCCAGAGACGCAAAACGAGCACAGAGCTCGCTGAGGCAATCGCTGCTGCCACACTAAGACTCCCTGCTGAAAGCCTCCAAGTCATAGGTACCGTGAGAGATAATTGTTTGAATGTTTGAGAGGCTTCATTCAATAATAGTCACAGAATCATGTAATGGTGTCTAACTAGACCTACAGTAAAACTATGGAGTCAGAACGAAGAAGGTCAGGATGCGTCTTCTCTCGTCGGTCTTCGGTCGTCCTGTAGTGCTGTTGTTTTTACCACCTCAGTCCAGCATCTGCAGTTGAGACATTTAATTTTGATGGGCGTCTGTGGCTCAGGAGGTAGATCAGGTCGTCCTTTAGTCACAAGGTTGGCAGTGTGATCCATGGTGCCTCCTGTTTGCATGTGGAAGTGTCCTTGAGCACCCAGAACCCGAAGTTGCTCCCAACAGACAGGCCAGCGCCTAGCATAGCATCTGCACCACCACTGGTGTAAGAAATTAGTGTATGAGTGGGTGAATGAGAGGCGAATTGTAAAGTGCTTTGTCTGGTAAGGTAGAAAGACACTTAGTGTAGTCCATTTATCATTACTACTTCAATAAGATGCTTTACATTAATTGTAGTAAGTTGTGTCCTTGTATGGAGTCTAAAACCCAGAAAAGAATTAGCATTTTAGCATTCCCGGTTCCCTCATCTCTAAGTCAATGGGTTTTTTGGTTAGATGCCTGAGATAACGTCTGTGGTTCACACAAGCTTAACAGACCGTCCCGGTTTGTTCTATGACATAAAACACGTCAGTAAATGTAAAGCTACAGAACGTCCTCAAGCTTTTTGTTTATAGCCCAACATTAGGTTTTTACCTCTGGTCATTACATTTAAGCTTAAAAAAAAATCATACAAACAGTGTTCATTTGTGAAGATTATCTTTCTGAACAAAACATGTAAGTATCATAAATGCCACAAAGGTTATTTTCTGCAGTAATCCAAAATCCAATGGAAAAATCCCATAGAGTTTTTGGCAAGGGGACCAGGGCAACACTAACTTCCGCATCGGCCTACAAAAAAAAGTAATTCCTGGAGAACTTTTTTGTTTGTTTTTGTTATTCCATTTGTTGATGTCCCTCCCTGTTATATTGGCCAGTGGGTCAGTCAACTCCTGCTGCTGCTCTGTGGATTGAACTTCAGTTTTTAGATGGCACACTGTTGACACATTTACATTAAATATAGGAGTTTATAAATTACAGTGGTCATGAAAGAGAAATTGTAAAGATTACAGCAGGATAAAAATCTAAATTGTAAAATGAAAGTGAGAGGCAGACAAATTAGTTAATGGAATAACAACATGTTCATTCTTGGATAAATTATAAATACGGTATATAGAATTATCAAAAACGATTGTTCTCTTGTAACTTCTTTTTTAAGTTCTTTAAAACAATAATTGCAATACAAATGCAAATGTATTCGATCCAAATATAATTTTGTTATTTTATCAGGTTATTGATTGATCATCATTTAAGACTATTAATGATAATAAAGTCTAATAATTATTAACAGTTACTCTGTTTACACACTTCAGACATATCTGTGACAACTGCTCGATTATAAAATGCTCACTGAAATAAATGTCTGCAAATCTCCCTGTTGTTTTCTTCAGGAGACTGGTGGTCCTCACTATCGCCCTCCACCATGGTTAAACATGTTAAGGTGTGGAAGCAGGCCCTGTCAGTGATGTTGTGTTTTCCTCACAACTCTGGAGTCAAAAACCTGCTACTGGTCCTGCAGTATATGTACAATGTTAGTATCACTTGTCTTGTTTTATTTCCTGGGAATTTCAAAATGCACTAAATGTAATCTTACTCACCTTGTCTATATATTTCACCTAATTTACTCTGCCTACACATTCCTGTTTTAAAGGCCAACAACAGAACTGCAAGACGTCAGAGAATCCCAGAGAAAACTTTTTGTTTGGAGATTAACCAAATATTTCTTAAGGAGGATCTGCAGATGTGGCGTTCAATGTCAAAAATCAAGGTAAAAGAAAAGTTTGAACTTACCTATCAAGATGTTCTTTGTCACTTGTCATAATGTTCATGTGGAAAAACAATGTAGTCACACAGAATCAAGTTTACATTTTTGTAACTCAAATACTGATATGCTCTTTTTCAGGATATGGATTATCAGCCACTTATCCTCGTTGACTTCCCATTTGTGATGGATCTGAAATCAAAGAAAATGGCTTTTGACATCAACGCTGCGTGCACTCAGGTAACTTGAGCCTGGAACTTTGCTGCATGGGAGCTAATGGCTCAGAAACACAACTCCAAATGAATACTTATGTTGCTATGTCTGCTAAATGTATAAATAGGCAACCGTTTGCTAAGTATGTAAAAACAACTTTATAACAATAACTGTGTACAAACCTGGACAGCGCGTCGCTACTTCCTCCCACTGTACAAAAATGAAGCTAAAATATCCCCAATATGGCCGCTGCCATCTTGTGCTGAAGACATTTGGACTCAGGGTCCGTGTAGTGGTGATTATCAGTGTATCAAGTTCTAGCCCAGGGGTCTGCAACCTTTGCCATTAAAAGAGCCATTTTTGACCAAAAATAATTTGAAAAAATCTGTGTGGAGCCGCAAAACATGTTTGAGCCCTATAATCAAGGTAACATAGCCTATTATCTCTAAATTAGCGTATACTTATGGTCTAAATAAGCATTTGTTAATATGTTTTACCACAAGGTGGCCACTGTGCGGGGCACTATCTATGATTATTTGGTACTTAAATTTTGCAGAGCTGGCAGTGAGAGCAAACAAATCTGTCCTACTACATTCTCTATTTTATTCAATTTACTTTTTTGGATTTGGCATCCATAGCTAACCAGCCACTGCTATCGAGATTCAGCAACATCTGGATTCATAGAATCAATTTCCATAGAATTCTTTTCTCAAAGTCTTAAGGAGCCACTGGACAGGGGCTAAAGAGCCACATGTGGCTCCGGAGCCACAGGTTGCCTACCCCTGTTCTAGCCCATACAGGGGCGGACTGGCCATCTGGAGGTTCTGGAGAATCACAGAACGGCCGGTACTCCAGGATGGCCGGCGGCCGCCACGCAGTCATCACCTTTATTTTATTTTTTTTTCCTTTTTCTCCCTGATAATCTACTGTTCCACGTCCAGTCCGCTAGGTGGCAGCCTTTAACCCTATGGGCCCGAACGACGCATAGTGTGTCCAAATTCACACCTGTTCTTCGCTATTGATTTTCCCCGCAACCATGCATCATAGCGAGAAGCCACACATATCACGTGAAACAGCGGAATTGTGGCTTTCCAACAAGACCAAGCACTTGTCGGTAGTCCAATGTTTTCACAGCGAAAAAGAATAATAAAGTTACACTAAAACTATGTAACAGAGCTTTCAAACAGCTTTGCACACACATTAATCTTGGATGGATTACTTGCGAATGCAGGCTCACACAGAAATGCCACACATATCACATGAAAGGAGCAGAGCTTTCCACTGATACCACACACATCATTGTGCTGTCATCCCATCAGGCTATAAATCCAGATTAATTGTCTACAAAATAAAAACCTGACGAATTTCTTTACAATCCATTATACAGATTTTGTTATCAGTCACTTCATATAGTGAGGAATATCGTATCTTACCACGTCTTAGGCTTGAGTGTGTTTCTCCCTGTCTATCCACATTTGTAGTCCAGCTTTCAAGATGCAAATATCTCCATATTGTCCAGTTGACACTCCATCAAACTTTGTATGACAAGACCAGCCACTTCACCTTTGCCCACCCAGACAACTGCAGCCTAATTATGCATGCATGACAGGGCCGTAGTCACCATATACATTGAGGGGGACATGTGCCCCCCCCCAATGCCCAAAATGCCCCCCCAATATATAACTGAAACTGAAAAACAACAACAAACTTTGTTTACTGCAAACAAAGTGGCAAATATTATCTTGGAGGACATCATTGCACTTGGTTGACTATTTTTCTATGATCTTAGATGTAAATATTGCATGTTTATTTCAGATAAAACACATTTTTGCCCACATTGTCCTGAAAAAAACAAGATATAGCATGTGTATGTAGCCTTTATAATGACTGTGTTATGAGCTTAAAAGTAAAGGCAGTAAAAATACCCCAAAAACGCCTAGGACCCATAGGGTTAAATTGGATGCCAGCCGGCCCATAGATGTTGGGCGTGTTTCAGGCAGTCACCTGCATTGTATTGTTCAGCAGAGAGACATCTGGACTGTGTTGTTTATTTCTCAGTGACTATTCTACACTATGCTCTTAACACAACATCTAGTCAACATCGGTGCTATTGCTATAATTTGAAAGGTATAGTATCATGTGTTAAGATTTAAGTATTTTGACACCCGTGTCTGGGCCTGAGGAGTTTCTGCGCACGTGGTCAAAATAAACGCAGCTTTAAATATTGACATCATATAGAAATACAGTTAAGACAGGAAAATTACTTTTTTAAAATGACACTTTGAATTGTATTACAGATGGAACACCAGCCAATGGGGTGGTTTCTCAACCAAAGTTCTTATTATTTTGAACTGAAGCTGAAGCGAGCGTCACTCTGGGAGGGCACCTTCAAACAACTGGCTGCTGCTCAACTCAGTGCCCTCAAGAAGCCACTTGTGGTAAATATTTTGTTTTGACCTGATGGTTAAAGCATAGCCAAATTATTTTGTATGTACTGGAATCATATGTATCTGTAATTATTTGTATACTGAATGGAACTTCTCAGGTCTACTTTGATGAGGACCCAAAGGTCACAGATGTCTACAAAAAAGACCTTTTTCATCACTTGTTTCATGAAATGATGTCCACCAAATCTGGGATGTTCATGTTCAACGACTCTGAAACGCTGGCCTGGTTCCCCTCCAAAGTAAGACTTTAAATCCTCATACAGGAACCATTGACCATGAAGCAACAATGGATTAATATGCAGTTTTCATCAACATAAATTCTCACTTGATTTTCATTGTTTTTACTTTCATCAATACAGACAACAGAGGAGAACAAGACAAACTTCTTCCTGTTTGGGGTTCTGTGTGGATTGGCCTTGTACAACGCAAGTATCATACACTTACCCTTCCCACTGGCTCTGTTCAAGAAGCTGCTGGGTGTCGAGCCGACACTGGAGGATATGGTGGAATTCAGCCCAAGTGTTGCAAAGTCAGTATTCATCTACATCTAGTAATACAAATTACCAGAATATTGAAAATACTGTCCGGTAAACTTTTTTTTTTTATTTAACTCAGTTTTTTTGTTTAACTGTTTTAAGGAGTCTGCAGTACGTCTTGGATTGTGAAGATGAAGACATAGAAAACCTATACATGGATTTTATGGTTGGTATTTTACTCTAAAAAACTTCTGATGATGTCTAAATTATCTGTCTCAAAGTATTCCAAAGATTTTGCAGTGATCATTAACGTCCTCTCTATCATAACTGATTAACAGATCAGCTGGGATGGGACAGAGGTTGACCTTGATCCCCAAAATCCTGGAAAGCCAGTGACAAGTCAAAATAAGTAAGACCTTTAAAAAATATTTACCTCTAAGTTGTTTATATGACCTGCACTCAGATCAGCTCTGTCTCAGAGAATTGTTTGTTAAATTTAATATTTATTCTGCTCAACAGGAAGGAGTTTGTGGATGCCTACGTGAGTCATGCCTTCAACACGTCAGTGGAGGGTGTGTTTCAGGAGTTCAAACGAGGCTTCTTCCAGGTGTGCGAACAGGATCTGGTGAAGTTGTTTCGGCCAGAGGAGTTGCAGCGAGTACTGGTGGGCCAAGACGTCTATGACTGGGCGAAGCTGAAACAGGTACTGTTACAAACACAAGATCCTCCGGTTTTCTCTGCAACTGATGGCGCGCTCCAGGCAACCTGTAACTCATGTTTTTACGACCTTCTACCTGTGAAAGTGCACTGGAATGGCAGTCAAACTCGTAACTTGCCACCCGTAAACTCGTACCAGATCGATCCCAGTTACGCTTTCTGACGTCACACAGCCCTCTAAACCAATTACCTTACTCCTCTAAACAACAATGGCAGCCCTATGGATACGGTGTTGATGCAGGAGATACACGGTGAGAAATAGACATAAAATAACCCTAATGTTAATGCATTATTGGCAGCCGCTCTAACAGCTGGTTTCCAGTGCAAGAATAAATCAGTACAAAATATGTTTCCAAACACACAGATATGGTGAAATAAAAAGGATAATAGCATCTGTGACCTTATGCGCCATTTCTCCTCCTCCGTTTCGCTCAAATGAGCAAGGAACCGGCACCTTTGGTGACAGAAATGATCATAAACAAACATAAACCCTGCACAGTCCGCCATGTTGCTTTGACAGTTTGACTTGCCTGGAATGCTATGAAGTCGGGAGTCATGACATGAAGTGGTGACTTTCCGGCTCAGAAACTTGCCTGGAACGCAGCATGAGTCACTACATTGTTACACGCTTGATTTAACTGTGTCAAACATTTAAGTCTTTTTTTATTTTTTTTACCCTAAATTAGAACACAGTGTGGGATCTTCATATTGGCTACCCCACCATGCAGATGTTTTGGGAGGTTTTTGATGAACTGACTGAAGACCAGAGGAAAGATTTCCTTTGTAAGTATTGTACAGTGACTTAAGTATTTAGTTTATTTGTGCATATACATGTTTTGAGAGAAAAAGACAGCAAGAATTGAGCTTATTTTAAACATTTTAAAAAAGACTATGAACATTGTGAAAGAGAGGTTAGAAGCCAAAAAATGGCTTATGAAGATACCACCCTGTTACGCCCCACCCTTATGCGGCCCTATGGGGCGAACAAAACTCCAAACACTGACCCAAAATAATCACACAAGCACCTTTAAAACAATCAAATCCATGGGATCTATTAGATTGAAAACAAGCAGACAAGACAACAAAAATCCCTCTGTGAGAGGCAGCAGGACCAGCAGTCCCCACATTAGAGCCTCTCTCCTCTGCTGCTGGCACAGGAGCTCTTAAACACCTCCTCCATGCCAGGTGTGCTGCACCTCGTTAAATAATGCAGCACACCTGGCCAGATCTACTGGGGAGGAAAAAAGAGACAGCAGCACAGAACACATACACCGCCGTAACACACCCCTATTAGATATTAATAATCATACTTAAAAAAGAAAGCAGCAAACATTGTGTACTTCTTCAACGTTTTTGGACTAGACAGTTAGACAAAACTGATAAAAATGTACAATTTACAAAGATGTTTATGTTTACAAGTCGAGATGCACTAAGGTGAAATTCATGACGTGATATGAATCTTCGCTATTCTGAGACCTTCTTAGATGTTTTTTGAATAACAGCAATGTTGGAGGATGAAAGTCCATAGAGGATCCTGTGAAAACTTGAGTGAATGTCCGGGGAAAACTTCTGGAAAGTACTAAGCGAGTTCTAAGTTAGGTATATATGGGCCTGCTCACGTGAATGCATACTGTAAGTCTGGTCTATGTTCACATTAAAAATTGATCTAAGTTTGTTTTTTCTGAAGAGAGAAGCAGGTGAGTCACATCTTTTAGCAAAGCTAAGAACTTGAACACCTAAATGGAATGCAGCCATTATGAATAGCTTTAGTTGCCTATGCTTTAAACCAAATCAATTATGGGTAAGAAGTGAGTCAAGAGAAAATGTAATCTGATGATGCTAATGGACAAAGATGGTAACAGACAAAAAGTAACTTGAAGATCCCTTCTTTCCCTCCATGGGTGTTCTTCAGGGTTCCTGACTGGTTTTAGGAGGGCTCCTATTCTGGGCATGAACCAGGTCTGGATGGAGGTTCGAGCTACACAAATCCAGACAGGCCAGCACTACGATCAGCACTTTCCTGAGTCTCTGACGTGTCACTCCATTCTGTACCTGCCCTTATACTCATCCAAGGAGATCATGCGAGACAGGCTGACAGAGGCCCTGATAGTAGAGAGAGGGTTCGAGATGTGATGGTGGATCTGCAGCTGACTTGATAATTTAAGAGTGGACTTTAATAAGGGTGACCAAAGAGCAGGTATTCTGTCTTAGCAGCACTACAGTGTAGCTCTGTGACAGAAAGCACTTTAAAATTCTATGAAAATATAACACGCTATAATTTAACTTAGATATTTATTTCTATGTCATGAGTTTTACACCTGAAGGGACAAAGTGATTTTTTTTCAGACCAAGTTGAAGTAAAAAAATATACTGAATTTGTCAGCTGATTAAGTGCCTTACTAAATCAAATGCAATCCTTTGCTAAACTGTAATACGTTTTATATTCATGAACATTATCATTGTTGTGGCTGATTACATGTCAGAGACGTGTCAGTTAACTGAAGGTTATTTGTGTTTCCAGACTGTGGTTGTGTTTACTTTATTATATATTTAAAGGAGTAAATGGGTTGGAGAAAATACTGTTATTACAGTCTGATAAAACTATGTCTGTGTAAAGTAGGGGTCTTGAGTAAAAGTTCAACCTTTGTTTTAGAATTTTTTATTGCATTTCATTCCTGCCAGGGGTTTTTTGTGGTTTCTCTGTTTTTTTATAACTGTCTTGTTGCACCTGTCCACAGATAGTGGCTCTGAGGTTTCCTTGAAACCAGTTCACATGAACATTATGTGCAAACACAGATTTGATGCTTGATACTAATTGAATAATAACAAAGTGGTATATATGTAATGTGAAGGTATGGCTGGTAAAAATGACCATAGACAGGGTTTCTCCATTATGTATGCCCATGAACTACTTCATGATAGAGGTGCTGTCATTCTTGGATCTACCACCAGATAGTGCCAAAGTCCAAACATTAAAATAAAATGTGTTGTAAAACAGTTTACTATGAGTGTGGCTTTTATGTTACAAAAAAAGTTAAAATGAAATGTGTATTATATTATTACATTGATCAGTTGTACTGTAAAACTACTATAATGTTCTGTAGATGTGACAGTATTGTGACAGTTCTTTAACATACATCATGTTCTCTGAGTAATTTAGTTGAACTGTTCACTTAACCCATACAGCAGTGAGTGAATAGTTCAAGTTCAACTCAATTATTCTGATCATATGTAGTGAACTGTCACATATAGTCTGTACATAAACATTTGCAGAATAAGCTTTTTCAATGTTACAAATACTCTGTAAACTATCTGTAGACGGACTATAATGAAGTGTTACTGTGTTTTGTCCTTATTCTGTTTTCTTCAGTGTGAAAAGTGTGTGTGTGGGTGGGTGGGTGTGTGTGCATTTATTCCTCAAGAACACTGCACTCACTGAGGACATTGTCACAGTGTCTCAACCTTTCCATCTGGGTTCCAACTACCCAGGTTCCTCGCTATTTGCATCCCACCACAGAACAGACCACTGACACAATGTCTCACATCTTGAATGGCTGTTATGCTTACAAAGGAATGTACACAGCACGTCATGACAGAATAGTGGACCTTATAATAAAGGACATTTTTTTCACCCTTAGTGAGAATGTACAAACATTCCTGTGTCAAACCTTCCATGTTTCAAATCTGCAATAGTAGCCTAGGTATTTTTTCACATCCGCTGCAATGCAGGCGGCACAGTGGTACAGTGGTAAGAACTGTTGCCTCACAGCAAGAGGGTTCCTGATTGGAACCTTGTGGTGGGGGAGCCCTTCTGTACAGAGTTTCATGTGTCAACGTGGGTTTTCTCTGGGTACTCCGGCTTCCTCCCATTGTCTAAAGGCATGCAGGTCAACTGGTGACTTGGCCGTAGGTGTGAATATGTGTCAGCCCTGTGGTAGTCTGATAACCTGTCCAGGGTGTACCCCACCTCTCGCCCAAAGGCTCCAGCCCCCCTGTGACCCCCTAATAGTATAAGTGATTACGGAAAAAGAATGAATGTCTCCAAACCTCCAGATGATTTGCTAGTTAATAGGCCTGTTTTCACTGCAGAGGTTCCTGGTACTATTTGGGCAGGAACTTTACAGGAACGTCCTCTCACTCAGCCCTCTCAACTGCCATGTCTCCACTGAGATGGCGGAGTAGGAGGAAGGTTCCTGTAAAGTTACCAGGCTCTGGATGTGACGTAATCGTTGCGCGGCCTGCTGAGTTTTAAAAATGCCGGCTATTTTGTTGCTTTCTGATGATGTCACATCCCGCCTTGAGTATATCCAATAAGCACCAAGTAAACCCCAAGCCCCAGTGAGTGTTTCGGGCCATTCTGAGTACCTACTCCGAGGCAGGGACTTGTTTAGCCCCCTGTAAAAGTTCCGGAACTCTGTCCTTCGGGGGTGGTTCCTGCGGTGGAGACACGCACCAACGGCCCCAGCCCCGTAAAATTACCCTGAAGTTCCTGAGGTGGAAACGGGCCTAATGAAGAGCCCAAATGTGTTAGTTTTAGAAGTAGCCTGCACCTCTGACTCTAACTTAGGGCTTTACAACCATCCATCCATCAGTTTTTTAACCGCTTATCCTCTTGAGGGTCTGGAGCCTATCCCAGCTGACAATGGGTGCAAGGCGGGCGCCTGGACAGGGCTGACACATAGAGACAGACAACCATTCACGCTCACATTCACACCTATGGACAATTTAGAGTCACCACTTAACCTGCATATCTTTGGACTGTGGGAGGAAGCTGGAGTACCAGGAGAAAACCCACGCTGACACAGGGAGAACGTGCAAACTCCGCACAGAAGGGCTCCCTCCTGGGATTGGACCAGGAACCCTCTTGCTGTGAGGCGACAGTGCTAACCACCACACCACAGTGCTAAGGTCATTAAATACCAACCACTCCTGAATACCATCTCAGATCTAGGTGCAGACAAGTTGTTTTCATATTTGACAGCGTCAAATATCCACATATCCACAGTTTGGTCATAAAAAAGCTTCAACTAGTACTATACTGTCTCTGCTATCATTGGCAGTCACCACTTATGTCCCTGACAACTGAGTACTGTACTCTCTATTGTGAAAACGTGTGTGTGTGTGTGTGTGTGCGTGTGTGTGTGAGAGAGAGAGAGAGAGAGAGAGAGAGAGAGAGAGAGGGAGAGAGAGAGAAAGAGAAACCCAAAACCCCAATAAATCCTTTCCTTTGTCTATAGTGTGTGGGTTGGAAGTAATTTTGTTCGAGAAAGAAAGAAAGAAAGAAAAAGAAAGAAAGAAAGAAAGAAAGAAAGAAAGAATGGAAATGACCACTAGGTGGCCCCATTATTCTGCAGATTGGCTGGTTAGATGAAACAAAGAGCAGCTGGGATGAGATCATCCAGCAGACTAGTGCAGACTTTTCAATATAACAATGCTTAAACTCTAAAACCAAATGACAAATAACAACAACAAAGAAAGGAGACAAAAACAGAAAACGTTAAACATGCAGCCAGTTTAAGGATGTGTCAGTGTGAGGTTGCATGCAGATACGTAAATGGACATGGAAACAGGCTATACACACAGAGACACAAAACCTACATGTACATGCTAAGGTCACTAGTAAATAGGCCTACTATTTGACACATAGCACCCTATAGAGAAAACGAAAGTGCGCCTGCAGGAATGTTATGTGGATTTTCCACAGAACACTCCAGCTTCTAAGAGCAAACATGGTTATAAATAGAAACAACTTTTTTTTGTTTAGATCCTCATTTCCGTTGTGGCCCCCTGAGTCCTCTTTGTGAAATGAATAAAGTCATTTTATCTACCTGAAGTATGTCAGGAATGTCAGTCATTATGTTTGTTATGGCATAGCTCATTGTGCCTCCCTGATAGTTAGAGACAAACACACATTAGTCAGTTATATAATGTGTTGGACTTCCGAAGCACTCATTCAGTGATTTTCCTCTCTCCTCTGAGAACTGGAGGCTCGCGGCCGCTGGCTGCTGCTGCTGCGCCGCGGGAGCGAGTTGGAATGTATTGACGTCAGAAGGAAGCTGGACACACGCGTGTGTGTGTGTGTGTGTGCGCGCGCCCGAGCTGTTCCGTCCCACCACTCTGTCTTGTGTGTGTCTCTTTCTGCGGAGCGAGTGCGCGAGTACACAGCTCGAGACTCCGGGATGAATTGAAGCAGGCAGTCATGAAAAAAGTATGTGCACACATGGACATGAACATGGAGTGTTATGAAAGAGAAGGAGAACGCGGCGCTGTCGTTTTCTACGTCTGAATTCAGCGGTGACACCAAGTGTGGGTGACAGAGAGAGAGCCGTTGGCTGAGCAGCTCGCAGCTACGGGATATTTGCACAACAATGGTAAGTTGGCACCGATGTTACTGTGTGTTCATAGCTGCCTCTTCGGTCCAGCAGCGGCGTTATGTTCCCGCGGCGCTGTCAGTGTTAGCGAGGTTGTTGGTAGCGTTTGTTTGGAGGTGTTGAGCAGCAGCCAGGAGGATGACTACATGCGTATGTGCCAACTCGGGACTGCAGTTGAGGCCAAGTGGAGAACAGCTGGCCTTAGCACAAGTGTAGTAGCCCGTAGGCAAGATTACGCAGTGTTTTGGATCTGATAAAACTGTACAGCCAAGGATATCAGCGCATATTAACACGGTGAGGCCTGCTACTGTACACTTGGCCCAGTGGAGCTGTGAGAGGGGCTTTAAACATGTGAGGAAGAGGCTGCTGTTGTCTTTAATGGGAATAGTGATGCTGCCATGTAGTGAGAAATAAAGGACTGTTCTGTACTTATCAGGGGAGGGGGTGGCATTAAAGCCGTATTTAAGCTTCAAATAATTTTCCTTGAGCCTCCCTGAGTGACTGGTGGAAATGCATGACCCTTACTACACCATAAATTAGTTATTTTTAAAACTTAACCTTTTGATGTTTAAAAGTTCGAAGTTAAAAGCTGAAGACGAAATCCTGGAGTTGAATAAAGCCTTGGCTTTAAAGTCTTGCTGGTTAGTTCATGCAAGCTGGTTATTTTTGGCCAAATTTCAAAGTGATTTTAATGAAATGTCACTATTTTAAGCCAGATGTGGTTATGTTGTTTTCCTGAAGCATTCATCACACATGATGTGTTCAAGGACTGTCAGTAATTTGAAAATGCAATGATAATTTCGGTTTGTACAGTGTCTGGCTATGATAAATGGTGTAAATACAACCGATTAAAATTTATATGCCCCTCCTCTAAGCCAAAATTAAAAAAACGTAAGTCCCTCCCTCGTGCTTAAAAACTATTTGAAATCCCTCCCCCTTCTTGCCGCATTAATAACCAACAGTCCCTAAGTGATAATGGTGTTGATGATGAGCTGCTTACTGTGATGAGGATGAATAGATAACGGCAATGAGCTTGACAGTCGTAAATGTATTGATGACCATGGTGATGAAGATGATGAACTTGTTACCCTGGGGAAGATCTGATGATGACATCATCAGGTATAATGCCACCTTCTGACCCTCTTAGCCAAACTAATGACCCACAAACTCACACTCTTGCTCGCACACACACACACATACATACATTATGGTTTCCTGTTACAGTATTGATTGGGCATGCCATTTGTGCTGGATGGGTGATATTTGAGATAGAGCCAAACACAGCCCTTCAACATCGCAGACAATAAAAGAATATTTTACCCTCTACGGCTCTCGTTGTACTACAGTATAATCATATACACTGCAGTCTGTTCGCCACTACTTAGTTTAAAATTGCTCTGCCTTTTTTGAAAGATGTGACATATCAATCTATTTCTGGTCCAGTGCTAGAAGGGATGAGGCATTAGCAGAAGCTGACCTCATCGTAGCCCTTTTCCCTTTGCACCAATCATCAGCGCTGTCATTTTGTCTCATTGTGTTGTCTTTTCTTTGTCTTGCCAGGCAACTCCCCGTCATTGAGGAACTTTGCTGCCGCGCACCCCCTCCTCCCTCTGTCCTTGACACCTTCACACAACTATTTTCCGTCTCCTGTTTCTTTTAATTCCACTCTACATCTTCCTGAAGTTCTCCAGTCCTCCCTTCCGAATCCCCTCTTTGTTCCAAACATGGACTCCTCTGGAGACGTAACCTCCGCCCAGGATGGTCATCTTGACCCCAGGAGCAGCACCGGTCGCTCTGATCTCAGCGGACTGTATCACATGGGTCGGACGTTGGGCAGGGGTCACTTTGCTGTGGTCAAACTGGCTCGTCATGTCAACACCGGGCAACTTGTCGCCATCAAGATGATTGACAAGACAAAGCTTGATGTTATGGCAACAAGCCACCTCTTACAGGAAGTGAGGTAAAGAATACAAATTATTCTGAAAGACTGAGGTTGAGAAGAAAAGATCAAATTTTTAAAAATGTCCAAAAAAAGGTTTGAAAAACAGAAGTGAAAAACAGCACTTTGTAGCTTTGTAGGTCAGATTCAATGGGATTTCAAACATACTGATTTTAGACTGTGTGTGATCCATCTGAATCTTATCAGAGCCAAGAATGGAACAAACGCTCCTGTCTAGATTTTAAGGCGCCCTCAAAGCATCCTTATTTAAAACTCTATTAAAAGCCAATACTCTTAGTTCCTCAGATTACCCTGACTGTTCTCACCATCGTTACTAATTACTTTCAGGTGCATGAGGCTGGTGCAGCACCCCAACGTGGTCCGCCTCTACGAGGTCATCGACACGCCCACCACCCTCTACTTGGTTATGGAGCTGGCTGAGGGGGGCGACCTCTACGACTACATCCTTCGCCATGAAGGAGGCGTAGCTGAAAGCACCGCCAAGCGTCACTTTGCCCAGATTGTGCGTGCTGTGGCGTATTGTCACCAGCTCCACGTGGTGCACCGGGACCTGAAGCCTGAGAATGTGGTGTTCTTCCCGCAGCAGGGGGCGGTGAAGCTGACAGACTTTGGGTTCAGCAACTTATTTCAACCGGGGACGATGTTGGCCACCAGCTGTGGGTCACTGGCATACTCCGCTCCAGAGATTCTGCTGGGAGAAGAGTATGATGCTCCAGCTGTGGGTGAGGAACAGATTTATTTTTTTTAGTTCCCCAAGGTCAGTGGTTTCAATTCTGTAGGTCAGGCCCCCCACATGGGGTCATGAGAAATCTGAAGGGTAACAAGATAACTGACAGAAAAGAAAAGCATAAAATACTTGTGCTTTATCAAATTATGTTTATTTTGTCAGACTTTCCTCTAAATGTAGCTTATATTCTGGAATGACTAGACTCTTTGGTTAAATTGGTGACAACAGGTAGACACGTGACAGACCCAGACAAGCAAGTATGTGCAGGTCTCAAGTTACACACATTGTGATGCTGACGTAACACACTTGCACTTGCAGTATTATTTGTGTGAACAGATTGACAATCCATGTGTTAATATGTAATCTGTAAATATAAAGCACCTTCCACTAATACAAGAAAAGGATTTGTCAACTCAAACACTATTTTACTAATATAAAACAGATCTGCAAACGCAGATTGACAATTCCACAAATAAAAAAATATCAGCGAATATATTCAATTAATGTTCAAATAAATGAAAAGCATTTGTCAATATCTTTCTAACATACACAACTTTTGAAGGGATACTTATTAATTTCAGTTCTGCACTTGCAGATTTGCATTTTACACACTGAGTCAATATTTGAGTTTTTATTTGTGGAGTTTGTTTGTGTATTGGCTCTGTATTTTGTTTGGAGATTTACAGATATTTTGTAGTTGTGGAAGTTGTTTTATATGTGCAGATTACACATTCACATGCAATTTGTTGATCTCCCTGCACAAATGATATTGAGACAAATCAGTCTTCATACACTAGCATACATTTAAATTATATCCAGGGGCAAAATGCAACAAACTAGTCATTCTGTTCGGAGATCAGAATTTGGTGTGTTGCTGTTGAGGTAGCATGGATCAAAATCTGTTGAAATGTAAAATCTTTATCAAAGTGAAATTCACCTTATCTTAACTGATGTAAGTTGATTATTTTTTACCCTGAGCAGAGCAGTCTTACTTATCTTGAGGGCCATTTAGTAGCTTTTCTGATGCTTTCTATCACATGCCATGATCCTCATCAGATGCCACATCAGATTTTACCCAGTTGTCAGGGAATTGTTACGTGATAGATGTTCAAATTTCCATTTTCCCTGAGCACTTTAAGGAATTGACCACAGACAGAGCAGCTGACAGTCATACCATACTATCAGCAGATTTTCTGTGTCCAAGGTCAAGAATGAACTTTGAGATGAAAACAAACTGAAAACATGACTAATAGTCCAAATGCCAAATTTAGCTGGAGGACTGTATAGTTTCTAATTGTGACTGTCTGCATGAGCCTGTGTGTGTGTGTGCATGTGTGTGTTTGCATTACACACTGTCTGTATGTGTGTGAGAGGGTTTGTGTGGCCACATTTGTCCCCTTGACCCTGTGTGTGTGTATTTTCATGTGTCATAGTGTGTGTGTGTGTGTGTGTGTGTCTCTCTCTGCTCTGTATACCCTTTCATATGTATGTGCTTGTATTTGTATGTTCCTGCGTGTACTGTATGCATAGATATCTGTGTGCGTTTGTTTGTGTGTGTATGTCCAGAAAGGATTAGTGTGTGTATCTGGGTCAGTCTAAGCAAGCCAGCCAGTCATGAGCCAACCGGGCACATTCTGCAGTGGAACCAAACACTGCAGCTCACCACTGGTCTCTCACACTGCATAGCAAGCATGTGTGTGTGTGTGTGTGTGTGTGTGTGTGTGTGTGTGTGTGTGTGTGAGAGAGAGAAAGACAGAGATAGATAGCAGAAAGAGAAAGTGCCATGCGTCACTGTTTATCCACAGCAGAGAGGCTGGTCTGCACTGCTGGGGTCTGTGTGACATTAGAGGTGAGGCCGGCCGATAGATTGCAGGATTTGACATCATAGGAACAGGAGGAAAACTGTGGGATTTGGTCCCATGTCTCCTGGGGGGGACACACAGCTTGTTTTTATCTTCTAAGCTGGACTAGGATGGATTTTGGCAGAGTGTGGGCGCTATTTATTCTGGTGACTACAAAAGCATCTGCACTGAATACAAATGTATCCCAACTGCAATTAGGCGCTGTTCTTGCAGAAGGACATCTACAGCATTTGTTTTGCTGCCTGTGGCAAGGATGAGTTGCAAATGTGTCAAAACAAGTGAACATGTTATTTAGGAAACTAAAAGTCTTGAGTCTCCTTTTTCTCATATGACCTTGTTTCGTTGTCTGCTCATAATACTGAGCATGCACCAGTTTATCGGCTGAACATCGGTATCAGTTGATATTCGCCTTGTTGACTGCCATCGGCCTATCAGCTGAGCAGCTCAGCATATGACATTCACAGATGGCAGTGACTGATGTTTTATCTGTTGTGTCACATTATCAGGCTAAAGAGCAGCGCTTGAGACTAATGTCGTCCCTGGGACAATTGAAAGCATTTTTTGGCACAATCAGAGACCTTTTCAGGGACACCTTCAGAATAGAAGGAGGCAGTAAACTCACTATTGACATGTCACACACCCTGTTTTTCCCCTGATAGTGGTACATTTTGAAGAACAAATCTGTGTTGAAATTGGTAAAAGGAGTGCTAGTTAACGTTAGCTGTTAGCTGCCAGTGGCCTGAGCTAAGAGGTAACAAAGGAAGTGCATTGGGCTTTGAAGTCGATTTTCAAATAGTGGAATTATAACTTGTGGGTCCATCACATGATACCATTGGGCCCCAAAAGACGTTTTCCCATAGACTTACATTGTGAAAGAGACTTCTGTTAATAAGTGGATGATTTTTTTGAGTATCACAACCCCTGTAAAATGACTCGTCTCACCATCAGGATTCGATCCATTTTGTCTAATCACATTAAAACTCTAGAAGAGCCACATGATAAAATTACTTTAAACCCATTCAAGTTATTGGAGGGCTGAACCAGAAGTTAGCTGCTTGGTTGGGAAGAGGTAGCCGCTCGGTTCACAAAGGTCTCTAGTGTGCCTGCTCTATGGGACCAATGATGCAGAAGATCCACGTAATTTTATAACTAAGAAGTTGAACTTTATACTTCCATGGGTTGCAGTGAGTTACATTATGAGGCATTCAAGCTCTATTCAGTAGAAATGAGTATTGGGCAAAGGTAAATCATGATATCATGATGTGTTCAAATGTAATCCTTTATTTATTATGCACTTCAGTTAGTTTTTGGAGTGAAACTGTGACTCAGTAGAGTTGTCTGAAGGAGAAATGTGTTGATGTTTTCACAGCACTATGAAATAGATATTAGAGAAGGAATTATGAGATATTATATACACTAAAAAAGCTTTTGAAGGGCTGAATGTAGGGCTGCAGCAGTATACCAGTTTCAATTATACAGTGGTATGAAAATTGTTTTCATACCGTGTACATTTGCTAATTTGTGGTATTGAAAAAAATATGTAACATGATGGAAAAAATCACCTGCATCTCCTGACTGCCTGTCAGACATGTTACACACACACTGATTTCAAGGTTCTGTTAATATACAGTGTTTGTAGAACTAAAAATAACTTATTGCTTTATTCCTTTAAGAGTCATTGAAACTGATAATGATAATAGTAATTGTGTAATACCATGAAACCGGTATATTTTTGAGATGTTATCATACTGTGAAAATCCCACACTGTTGCAACCCTAGCTAAATGACTTAAAAACAGTTCAGTATTTTTTTTCAAAATGAAAATTTCTTTGTTTCTCTTGCACAAAAGTGGGAATAATTAACAACAACAGAATAGACAACAACCACAAAACATTGGTGTCCGTATCGGCCCAGAATTTCACAATCAGTGCATCCCTAAGTAATACTCTTGGTGAGATGTTTTCTTCGTTAACCAAGGGCATGACAGGGAGTGGTCATGAAGAAACACCAATCACATGCATCCGTAACTTCAGCATGTGTTACATTAGTTCCTTTTTTCATTTTAGTTCCTGTTTCTTTTAGTGTCCCCACGAAGGGCGTCCATTTAAATCCATTTGTGTGTGTGTGCTATTATTACATCTTCCAAGACAGTTTTCTGCTTCACCTCAACTCAAGTGCACTTCTCTGTTCTATTTTAACATGATTCAACCTGTGGATATCAGAATTAAATCATCACTCTGCTAGAAATGCACACTTCCATCAGCCACCCACACACCCATAAATATATGTATGTGTGTGTGATAATCCTGAGCTGCACAGGGGAAGAGATGTACCTCAGTGATCTCAGCTTAGTAAGGTGACTCATAAACCCATCTCTGTCTACACACACTCAAACACAGACACACACAGACACACATAGACTGCTCTGTGTGTCTCTTTGATATTCCTGTCTATAAACAGACTGTGGTTTAATTCGCTGTGGTTCCTCCACTGCTGGAAGTCTTAACAGTATACATGTGCTCTGTTTGAGGACATGGTGTGTGTGTTTGATGATAGTCATATGATGTGGAGAGGAGACAGCCTTTAACAAAGATAAACACTGCCCACAGTTACATAACATCTTCCCATTACTGTGTGCACACATGTGTGAACAGTTTTTCAGGCCTAAGTGTTCATGTTAGGTTCACAGGCTTTAAGTTGGTGAAAGGTCGTCACCATTGATGTGGTTCATGTTTGTCTGCTAATGAAATAATTTTGTGTTGTCTTTTTGCTTGACCAGATGGGCTTATTTTTGTTGTTGTAGTGATCTACACTTAAGATTTTGATAGAACTGGGTCACCCTGGTATGTCATTTGTTGCTCAGGAGGCCACAAATTATAGTTTATATTTATATAAAACAATTTAAACATATTTGGTGAGTTATGAAAGAGCAGTAGTTGGCGATATAGAAACAGAAAATGTCAGATAAGAAGGGAGGAAGGCCTACATTGGTGGACTATGTCCTTAGCAGGAGGAAGTTCTGCATTTGACAGATACTGAAAGCCTCCCTGGGTGTCAGCTACACTCTCCTATCTATGCTATGAGGTGTAGAAGCATTAAATGTGTTTATAATATGAAGATTTGCCTTGAGTGC